CCCCCAGGAATCCATCCGGATCCATCCGGCTCCGGGGGCGGGCCCATACAATCGGGTCCGCACTCTTATAGAGGGAGAGGCCGCTCTCGAGCACAAACCTCACCAGGATTAGACTCTTTTTTGCATATATCTTTTTCAACTTGGCTCTGAATGTTGGCCATCATGCAATCATGAAAATCCATCCTGTTAAAAAAATAGTTTGTAACTTCTAGCACAATTAAATGCAAAGCCTTCATTTAATCAAATCCCTACTGTACGTTTCTTCAAGAAAGAGTGCATGAGATCCAAGCAGAATTATTTTTTATTCAGTAGGGATATTCCCACTTATATAATGATATATAAAGCATAGTCATATAACTACATATAACAATTGCTGCTTTACTTAAAAAGAATGCTGCAGAAGAGCGTAACATTAGTGCTGACAGCTACTGCTCTAACTGGCAGTGCCAAATTTTACAGAGATGTGAAACCAAATTGCATTCTCACTCAGCAAATTAAGGTTGATAGCAGCTCAGCTGTCTGCATCCAGATGCTTCAGGCGCTGATGTGCAATTTACAGATTGGATTTACACTATCTCATGAAGTCTCCAAATAAACTTTCAAATGAATTCTATCACCCCATCAAAAATCCTCCAAAAAACAACAAACAATATATTATATTCTGACAACCTGAGCAGGAATAACAACATTCAGATTTTTATTTTTTTTGTTAGAACACATATCATATTTTTAAAGAAAAATAGGACATTTTTCTTTTCGAAAATAACTGAGAAGACAAGTAATTAACTGGATTGGGAAAGCACATAACTAAAAGCAAGAGCTATAAACCCTTCATGTACCCCTGTACATTATTCATGTTTCACACAACTAGGATATAGCCGAACTGACCCACTAGGCCAACAACTCCAGTTATTTAAGCTATGGGGGATCACAGTGTGCACCAACAGCTATTTCAAATATTTGAACCATGACTAAGGTTTCCTGTATTGTCCTATCCAAGGTCATGGGTTCTGCAAGGTTGGTGCAATGGTTAAGAACATGGGACAGGGACTCAGGCTTTTGGGGTTCTAGTCTCTGCTCACCCATGGAGGCAAGTGGGTGACTTTGGACTAGTTACAGACTCTCAGCCCAACCTACCTCACAGGGTTGTTGTTGTGAGGATAAGATTGAGAGGAATAGGTGGTATAAACTGCTCTGAGTTTGTTAAGAAAAAAGCAGGATTTGAATCGAATGAATGAATGAATGAAATAGCTCCAGAGTTTGGATGACATGACAAGCCACAGCTATGCCTTTGAAAATCCAGGATGGTACCTGTAGGTACTATGGCTTAAATAAACCATGGAGTACTCTGGTGATCACGCAAACCTAGTGGAAATTTTAAATAGTCAAAAAACAGGTTTATGTACAGCGATAAAGTTATAACACACACAAGACAGGAATACTCAGCACCTTCAGTTGAAGCTCAGGTACTACAGAATTTGCTACAATGGAATGCACAACAAATACCAGTCTCCCAGAATAGGGATCTATATGGACAGGGATCTCAGTCCAATGTTGCAGAAATGTATTAGTCTTATAGACATTTTATGCAAAAAATCAGAAACCCTCTTTTACTGAAAGCTGAGTTAGAAGCCTCTTTTAAGCAGCAGTGAAACCCTACAAAATTGTTTTTCTTTGAAGAGCCATACTCTGCCACTTTGACCAGGACTCAGCTACAGTATGAAAATATAATTCCAAAATAAAAAGTCCATTAAAAATCTAACACATTGTAGCCCAAGACACTCCACAGACACACACTTTTATTTAAGAGGTTTGCATAAGAGATACTGTTTCAAATTAATAAATACTGCATATGGGATGTGCTGTAAACTTATGATTTAAAAAGCCACATAACTTTCTGCAAAGCTACATATAGCCACCATTAACACAAATGCATTTATGCTTTGAATTCCCAGAGGAGCAATGGTGGTCAATTCATAGATACAGGATGGTTCTCTGAGCTGTACAGCACTTCCGTTTATTTATAATCCTCTTGACTAACTTAAAATAGGCTCTTAACGTAGTTATCTCTGCATGGGTTTACACAGTCTACACATTCAGAAATACATGGTCCAACCTCCATAAAATTCATACAACATCAGAAGCAGTGAGACTATCAACAGCTATAAATTCAAGATTCTTCAGATTCTTATTGAACAAGAGATACTTATATTTTCAAAACTATAAAAATGATTTCCCAGCCTGTTTATAAGTCAGCGAAAATTGGTCATATATGCATTCAGAAATAATGAAATTTGCATAAGAATATCAGGACGGAGCAGTTTTCTACTTCAGGAACCCAAAAGCTGTCCAAATTTGGCAAAGAATTCCAGAACTGATAGACAAGTAAATAGTGCAAATATTTCAAATTTCAAAAACTATTACTATTTTTAAAATTGGATTTAAAGGGGTTTATCTCCAGACTGACAGGTTTTATAATTCTGGGCAAGATTTTTTTTTGGGGGGGGGATATTGTGGTTTGATTAAGAAATGTTAATTCAGAAAAAGAAAGGACAGACAGACAAATGGGTCAACCTTATCAAAGGCTGAAGAAACATTGCTATCCTGAATAAAACAAAAGGAGCTTCACATGAAACTAAGAGCAGCAGAAGCCTAAAATGACTTTACCACCCAAGAGTATTATTCAATGAATGGTTTTTGCTAAACAGACAGATAAACTGACCCAACTAAAATGATAAAAGCCAAAATATTTTATTTATCTAGGGGAAGTAGAAAATTTGTTAATGTCTGGGAACATAATAGGCAAGAGGGTACCAGGAGGGGCCACTCATAACAGATAACCCCAGCACTGTGCAAGTACAAGGAAAAAAATACACCACTCCCAGAATGCATGCTGGGTTGCAGCTCAAAAGAGATTAACAATATATTATTCTATGTTGTATAGAAGCTGGAATTCAAGTGAGAACCTAGTCACTGCCAACGATGTAATGATAATAAAAGTACAACAGCAATAATACAAACAGAGCTACAGCCAAGTACGGCAAGCTCAATAAACTATACACTTTTGTGCCAAGCTAAACACTGGCATAAATATGGAATGTATTCAGAGGATGTTTCCTCTGAACATCTAGCTGCTGGAAAGTTAAGTGGTAAATGCTTACTCTAACTGCTGAACTCCCAAAAGACCACCCAAACAGACAACCAAGCAGAAAATGCAGATACATGTACTATCTGTCCATCTTTGCATTTTTCAATTGCACAGAAAGGAACTGAATCTTCTCTTTAAACATAATTATGAAAAATCATACAAAAAGTTAAACCAAATGACAAGTATACAATCTGCCTCCCATTACACTTTCTGGGAACCCAATTATTTCTGCCCTCAATTAAGGAAGCTCCTTCCTTCTGCAGGTAATGAGTAAATTTGTGGCAGATATCTAGAAATATGGCAGTACTGGCTATGGCAACACACTTGACCCACATTCTACGCATAAAGTTTGATCTATTTCTTCTCTCTCTGCCACCTGGCTTGTTATGCTCTCAGAAGCTGTGGAATATAGTTGAGTAATCAAGCTTCCCTGACTAGAGAACAATGGTTCATTCATTTCAAGTAGTGGAAGAGTATTCATCATGGTATCCACATCTACATGGTTTCCATCTACCCTTACTTCAAAGTGCACTGTCATTTGTTCTTAGACTCCAACCTCCTCACATTTGAGACAAGCTGTTCAATAAAATGCTCATGATCATAACAAGGTTTCTGGTTTGAGAATTCTACTTAAGGAACATAAACTGTTGGGCAGACCAGGCAACCAGTCCTTAAGGTAGATCCTCTTGCTTCAGGACCAATCACTTGGAGCATATGACACACCTCCTTTGGTCTGGCCTCTTTAGCTAGTGAGATTAGTTACCCCTGATTTGCTTTCAATTTCATTAGTATGCTCACTTTGCCTTCCCAAAGTATCTGAAGCTGACTGATGACTGAGTCCCAGATACAGCCTGGCTTATATCTGATTCCACTGGCCTTGTCATTTCAGCTGCAGATTCCAGCCCATCCCACTCATTTGTCTCAAAATCTGTTCCCACATCCCTTGAAAGCTTTTTTGAGAAGGGGCCCAATCCCTATATCCTTTTCCAATTCAACGAAAAGTTTTGGCAGGAATTTTCAAGTGCATTTTCTCCTGGTTTGCCATCTCTATCCAACCTTTTTGTACAGACAAAATTGAACCATGGAGTCAACATGGTAATTAAGGAACAACAGAAATGGTGAAAGAATATTGCCTTCTGGCAACAGGGCCACAAATGTATCTTTGGTAATAACCTTGCACCTATCTCACATAAGCATCTACCTCTCTTCTTAAACAAGTGATAATTTTAGGATTTAGGAGTGGGCTGGAAACATAGAAAGATCTTTAAATGTATAAGGATACATGATTTGGTATATTAATTTCCATAGGGATAAATGCATGATAAACTTGCAGAAAATAAATTCCTGTGGAACAATATCAGCATGAAATCTATTTTTTGATCTTGTGGTATCAAATTTATTTATTATAGATATTTTATGTTCATTGT